CGATAACACAAACCAAACTTAAAACTCAAACAATCCTTTTTATCCTTTCTAAAATTGTTCATAGCGCTAGCATTATTAAATCTCAAATAGAAATCTGGCAAGTAAAAATGACTTTAAAACAAGGTGAAGGCGGTCTACCACGGGGAATTGAAGCGCTCCAACTTTATTAATTAGACATGGAATTCGTTCACCCACGGGAAGATTTGAAGCCTTATAATTATTTTTCTTGTCTAAGTAAGACCTATTAATCTTTTAAAAACTCTTTCTGTATTGGTGGGTTGCAAAGATTCCCAAGAGAGTCAAAAGACAAGTACATGGCGGCCATTGTGGTGCCGTTAATAATGGATGCTAATGAGAAACCTTTTGCTAAATGGCACCAACATGGCTGGGATGACGTAACGTGCAATCAAAGAATAGAATATTGCTTTGAGAAGCTAAATTAAAGATCTTTTCACGGCATATTGAACTTTCTTGGCCTGTATATATATACAACATATAAATCAGACTTTACACGGGATCTCTGTATAATATGTCGCAAAGGACTCTTGGGTAGTGCCAGGAAGACCCCTGATTATTGCGCAATTTTGGTATTTTTCGGACGCAGTAAAATACGGAGATAGGCAACGCATTTTTAGACTGAGCTGCCACAGGCAACCCAGTAATTAAAGCTTACGTATCAATCGATCTGAAATCACAGGAAAGGCATAAAGACTAAAGTTACCTAATTTAAACCCTTTAAAAATGTATGATAAAAATCAATCAACCAGGCTCCCAAAGCTGGGTTCCCCGTAACTTAGAGTGAGTTTTTCGCAGAGCATGTTTAATAACGAAGTTTATAAGGATTATCAAGAATGCGTTTATTTGATAATGGCGAGTGTCGAAACGTAAAGAAAACTAKTCCTTATTATTTTGTATTAATTGCTTAAAAACTAAAGAGGAAATTTATTTTAAAGAAATGCAGTTTTACTTTCAAGAAATGCAGTTAATTGGGTTATACATCTAAGTCGAAGTGTGTGAAAAATGTCTCGAAAGTTCCATAATGTGATACATTTTTAAAAGAATTGATGATTTTCAACCATTCCCAAGAGAATTAAATAACAAAAGACACGGCGGCCATGTTGGAGGATATAACAAAAGAATTCATTGGCAATTCTTTCGTTAAGTTCTTCCAACATGGCCGCCGTGAAAACCATCAATACGTTACGAAGCAAGGCGTCAGAGGCATGTATAGGCATTGGTTTTTAAGATTTGATCTGGAAAATAAAACTCTGGAGTTTTGATTTCAGACTTGGATCTCGGGCGAGTCTTAAACTTTCTACCAGCAGGAGCGTCGTGTTCATAGGTRGTTGACATTTCTTTAGGAACTTGTACGGACACTGGACAGTTCGTATTACGGGCAGGAAGTTTGACGGGGATGACTGCCAGACCCTTGAAATAGAAATATGTAATTATATAAAGAAAAAAATCGCTCCACTCCACTCCACTCCACTCCACTCCACTCCACTCCACTCCACTCCACTTGTCATATATAATAGAATTCTATTATAGAAGAATAGCTCTATTGACTCACCAAATGCTCCCTCAAGTGATCGATAACGTTATTCCTGTTGATTAACTCTTTCTCAAGAAGATCTTTGTCACGCAGTAAGTTGTCACGTTCTAACTCAAGTGCGTCACGCTCACACTTGATGCGGTCACGATCATGCATCATTTCATTTCTTTCTCGTATCGCACTGTCCCGTTCCTGTTAGGGATAGACRTAACAAAAAGTTAAAGTGTAGTTTTGATACTCACTAGAAATCATTCAAATACATTCTTACCTGACAAACCTGTTCAACCTGGCTTTCCAGTGCTGCGATTCGCTTTGCTGCATCCTGTAAAACGAGTTTTAAAAACAGGTTTGGCAAATTATACATTTGACTTATTTTGTTTTCCAAGCCTTACAAAGTAAATTCGAATTTAAAACAACCGTAGTCCATACGATTAATTATCTCTTTAGAACAATGATACATATGTACCTAATTAATTAAGACCTAATAAATTTAATGCTATAAGAAGCTAATTGTTAACAGCATCTAATATATAACTAATTGACACACCGAACATACTTTATACATACTACTGTACACATAACGTATTATATCCACACGTCACGTGGGTAGAGCAATAGGTCTGTTGTACAACCACTTGACACACCCACCCTACTGTATACATACTACTGTACACATAACGTATTATATCCACACATGTCACGTGGGTAGAGCAATACCAAGATATAGTTCTGTTATACAACCACTTGACACACCCACCCTACTGTACACACACTACTGTACACATAACATATTATATCCACACATGTCACGTGGGTAAAGCAATACCAAGATATTATACAAGCACTTGACACACCCATCCTTCTCTACACACAGTATACAAAAAATATACAAATAAAACGAATAAAAAACAAAACAACAAATAAATCATAAATAAATAAAAGACATGGCTGCCAAGAAAGTCTCCTGAGTTACTAAATGCCATCAAACCACGGCTTCGAAATCAGCAATACTTGAACACACTAGAACCCCAATAAAAATTAACAGTAGAGCAAAGCTTTTGTTTGGGCATAGCTTTAAAACCGGATCAATTTATATCTTGATTATTCTATGCCAAATATATCCAAGTTAAGACGCAAAACGGACCCGTTAAGTAAGTCATAAACTAACGCAACTATCTGAATAATATATTGCCTATTAGCTTGATTATAAGATAAAACGAACTGAGGCACTTTCCTGGATATTCTTTTAGAACATTAAACCTTTCGATCAAGCTGACGCTAAAAGAGTCCTTGATTCGAGGGTTTTTATCCGGATACTCAGGTTTTCCACCCCTGTGTAAAACTGACCTAACACGCTAAATTCCAATTTCATCTGTGTAAACGTCCCTTTTTTACCAGAGTAACACTTAATAGCCAGTGGATAACAAACCTGGTGTTAGCCGTTCTCTGACTTTGATCATTCGTAAACGCTTACTCTTTTATGCGTTTAGCCCTTCTGTCCACACGTAAAAGATGAAAACGCTCACCGTAAATGCACACACCTAATTCAAAAAACGTTGTCATCGCAAAAGGCGATAGGCAATAGGACATAGGCGAAAGCTGATAGGATATATGTCATTCCAAGATCCAAGAATAGCTGGAATGACTTGTGTTTCTTCTTCTTCTTCTCGTCAAGAGTATGGACCTTCGTGCTGAGACTGATTCGATGTTCTTTATATTCAACGAAACCATTTCCATGTCGGAATGACCTAYCGCCTATCGCCTTTGGCGATGACAGCGATTTTTGAATTAGGTGTATACATTTGACTGGATACTGACGCTCTCCAAAGTGTTAGCGAAAACGATCGATGTTTATGAAAACGCCGAGATCATTCACACCGGACCATGACTGRAACACCTGTTCTTTGCACACGCAAATGTTGCATCATTTCCAATTATATCTGCGTTTTTGAAACGCTATGAAAACACTAGTGTGCCCGCGTATTTTTCATTGCGTTTACAGTCGTTGAGCCGAAAACTGAGCGTTTTATACGAAAGCCGCACTAATGTGGGCGTCGCCTATATCTTTGTTAGCATTTTATCTTTATTTTGTATTGTGCAGGCATTGAAGTATCAATCCAGAATGTAATTAAATAAGTCTTGGAAATGAAAAAAAGGCTGCGAAGGATACCACCAGCTGAGAGTAAACAATATTTGCCCTCTAGATAGAATATCTCCAGCGACAGAMATTAATTACACTATCTGTCGTGTCGCACAGTACAACACGGGTACACAATATAAATACATCTCCACGAGCTTATGTATAATGTAAATATCATGTTGAAAATATCATGAAAACCAAATTGAGCAAAGCTCAGCTCCATACACTGAAAAAAGGGAATCTTTTCTGACACTCAGTTTTGTTTCTTTCGATGTCTATCTGTCTATTCAGCTCCTTCTCGCTTCTATCCATCTTTCTTTCCGTCTTTCTTTCCGTGTCTTTCTTTTTTTCTCCTTTTTGTTTTGCATTATTTATTTAACTACTGATAAATAATAATAAAAATTACTATAGTTAATGTTTTTACGTTGTTTGATTTTCGTATCAGTGTCAAGCCGAAACATTTGATGTTTTTTCTCAATCGACTACGCACGCAATTGAAATGTTACTCTTTTTTCATATAAATAGAACGGATTATATTTTCCCAACTACGCATTGGATATTTTTCGCTAGTAGAAACTAAAGATAGAAAGAAAAAATCCGGAAAAACATATATACAATATCGTTAATTAGCCCCGCAAAAAATGCTGACAAAATAAAGCTTGTTGATAGTGAGGAGGGAAAATAGTCAAGCGATAAGAGGAACAAGAATGTTATATAAAAATCGATGCATTTGGAAACCCCAAAGCATTCATTTCTACGACTTTTGGTTAAATACTTTCCAGTTTAAAAATTATTACAGCATATTTCATTAAATTCATGGTCTTATTACCTTGCGTTTCTGACTTTTTTTCCCTTCACAAYTGGCTTCGAACAACAGCAAACATCGCTTCATTGCTTTTTCGTCGATACACCAATCCACAGCAGTAGTTTGTGTTTCTTTTCTCTTCGATGAATCACTCCTCTTTGACTTGGTCGAATCTTTTGATTTCTCTTTTGAGTCCTCGATGTTGGGCGCGCTTTTTTCGTCATATGATTCAGATTTGGAGCGAGCTCGTTTTTCACTTGCTGACAAATGAGTTCCTTTCGCCCGTGGAGTGGAGATAATGAGCCCCTCTGGCGAACAAAGATGGCGTCTCGACAAAAGTAACTCCGTTTCTGAGATACTTCGTTCTGGGAAACAGAATGAACGTTGTTCTTTTTCTGTTTTCGTGTTTGGCTGGCCAGGATTTCGATCGAGAACGCGATTTTCTCGTGGTAAAGAAGTGTGTTCCAATCTGTGTTTACTTCGAATTGTTAGCGAAGCGGGATAATGGTTTTCGGGTTTAGTAATGGCGTGTTTCAGCGGCGTATCTTTACCTAATCTAGGGCTTATACCAGACAATCTCACGCTAGATCTGCTCATCGACGAATCTGTATCGAGCGTACAACCATATCCGCTGCTATTTGTAGCGCTACTTGAACAACTGGAAAAACTACTGTTGCGGCTTAAAGAGAGCTCTGTTGAGCTGAAGCTTTCTCTGTTAAAGAGCTTGTTATCTGGTACATTCTGTCGCTGCTCACAGYCGTGGTAGTAGACCATTGGGTTTTTAACGTCTGATAACTTCCTAATTCCAGTGTTATCCTTCAAATGTTCACACATACTGCAGCGTATTTCTTCTACTATTTAAGGCTTTTAGCTCATGTCGTAATGCACGGACAGTTAAAATACTATAGGAATTCCGGCTTGACAAAGACTTTTGTATTTTTTGACAGAAAGTAAACATTACTCGTAGAAGGAAGTCGAAGTTTGTTTACATTTTTAGTAATAACTTGATGCCATTAGTAAATTCGCGCCATTCTTGTGAAGTCACCAACCAAGACATCTCTACATTACAATGCATTTACAGTCAAGAGTCTTAGATTCATAGATTACAATTTCTTCTAATATGGAATGACACCGAAAGAGTGGAACATTTTTGCAAAATAAATAAACATTTTATGGTTGAAAAATTGTAACTGGAKAACGAAAAAATGACTTTTTAAAAGACTTAGATAAATTGTTGGCCAGTGACAATTTATAGTTCCTACTCTTACACAACACAAGCGATATTTCATAATAAGCTAAAAGCCTTAAGTTTGTACAAAGTATAAGAAACGAAATTGGCTTGATTAACTTTATATAGACTCTTATAAAGCAGGTTACGTATTGGTTATTAGAAGAAAAATATTGGAAAACATTGGAAAACGCGTAAACCTTATATCATTGAGTTAGTTTCAAGAGTTCATTATTGTGCTACTGTAGTGATACTTATCGCGATTTTAATCAATATTTACAACATAAAGTGGCCTTTTTTTCTGAAGTCCACGACACTTAGGCCACTAAAGCTTCTTTGAATTAGACTTTACTTTCAAATCATAAACTTTCGCGTGCATGTTTCCAAAATTCAAATTGCGGCAATTTTAGCATTTTTCTTCTACCAAAAGGCAATGAAGTTCTTGTGTGCTAATATAATCCAAAATTGTGCAAGAGTACTGAAAACAATCCTGTTTACATTTAACCGCGTCGATCGAAAAATTTACGAAAAAATCAAGGCTTTTAAAACGAAGCATTTTCAGCTTTCAGAATTTAATAAGATCCAAATTTACGGCTAAAAAGTGTCTTTTTTAGCGAAATAATTGGGTGTTTTTATTCTTCTGTTCTCTGTTTTTAGGCTTTTCTTCATTATTTGATGTAAATAACTTTAGCTTTTAAATATCAAATTAGCTAAGACCTTTTAATCCATTATAAACAGTCTTTCTGCCGAAATCCTTCTAGCAAAGTTCGTAAGCCCGGAAGTCACGTAGCTGATTGACGTTATCGTGACGTAGGCGTCACTAGCCAATCAAAATTGAGTTTATACTAGCCTCGAAAGTAACTCTCACTTTATCGTGGGAGCCCGATTTTCTCTATATCGATTTTTGAAGGATTTGGAGCAGCAAGAGTGCTGCTATATCACACAGCAGCTAGGTAGCTGATCGAATGTTAACCTCAAAACGATGTACTGCAGTTTACAGTGTAATACGATGTTAGAAGTTCAAATGTAACCAGCAATTTGTTGTCGAGTTCATAACGTTACGTCTACGTCTTTTGGTGAGACTTTTACCGGGAGAAAACGTCGTAGTAATTCACGCTCTATCTTTTGTCGAAATCCCGCATCCCGCGAAAATCGTAAGCGACGACCCAATTCAACATAAAAGGCGTTTGACTTTTTTCCTTATTTATTAATGTTTTCACGTTTTTCCCGAAAATCAGAAAGCAAAATCCCGCATCCCGGGCATTGAGAGTCCGTAGTTCCCGAGTCACGAGCGATACCAATATCCAGAATCACGTAAGAGTTTTTGTAGTATAGTTTCCCGGTTCCCGCGCTATATTTTATCCGTTTCCAGATCCTGTATATGTAATGCTGTTTCATACATACTGAGTATGTTTTATAATTCCAGGCAAATAAGATATTTTATCGTGATTTATTAATAATGGTTGGGGCCAACAACTAAAATGTTGATCGCCAAATTATGAATAATAATTGCTTATAATATCCAAGTCTTCTTTTGATGGCCATTAGTGATGTTTCTGCTATAACAGCTACGACATTGGTATTTTCTTGAAGACTTCAACTATAATTTTTTCATTGCTGTCATGGTCGATTCTCGACCCTACGAAGAAAATGATAAAGATCTGGGGTCGAGAGTGGTTTGCGGTCATTCAAATGGTAATAATTCAGCGCATGCGCATGTGTTTTTGGTTCAGGTTTAGACTGTAGTTTGTTTTATTCCATTTCACATTCAGAAATTTAGTAATAAAAATATTTTTCAATCGGTGTTGTGAATTTATAACATGGTTTATGAATAAGACAGACTATGCCAAAGAATCTGTCCAGTTCAGACATTGCTCTCAGTCCAAAAATCACTATATTTGGGTCGTGAAATCCCTAGTGGCAAGGGCGGATCCTTCTGCAGAAAAAAACGATGCTTTTTTATATTGTTTTCTGTTGTGTTGACGGAAGAAACTCAATTAACCCCCACCTAAACTCAATTACCCCCCCCCCTAAAATTTTGGCTGGATCAGCCCTTGAGTGGGTTAGGTTAAGTGGTTAAGTAGAGGTAAGGTATGGGGAAAAAATATACCTTAGAAAAGCACAACGCAGACACACTATGAGAGATCAACATCTGTATAAATAGATGCAGTAAACAACATTTGACTCGGCCACCTAGTCTTAGAAGTCGTTTATCGAGAGGTGCTCTAGAAAAATACACAGTTTTTCCAAAATAACACAATATTTAAAAAAAATATCCATTAGACACGCAGTCCTCGTTAAATAAGCTTTCAGAAAATGTAGTTTTTTGGGGAAGTCATTGAATATTACAAATAATAGTAAATGAGCTACTTGAATTGAACTCAAAGCAAACGACAGATTCGTGTTAGCTGATACTTTAAACAAACACATTTGAAACGCATTAAAACACATTAAAACACATTAAAACA